GGGGGAGGGGGGGGAGGGAGACGGGCAGCTGGACCACTGCCTTAGAGACCCCAGAGCTCCGTGCACCCACCTCAGTCCTGTGAACCAGCATCCACTTGCCATCATCTCCTGGTTTATAAAACTCAAGAAATGGGTCTGACTTTCCGAAGAGGTCCTGGAGGAAGCAGGAGGATGCAGGTGAGGGAGGCATGGCTCTACCAGATTCAGATGAGGCGGTGGTTGGGGGGGGGAGCTGCCTTCCCCAACCCCGCGTCAGGGGTGGGAGCTGTGGGCCCCCTGGGGCTAACCAGCTCCCGCAGGGGAAACCGCCCCATCCCAGGGTTACCAAAGCCTGTGCTCAGAGACCCTGAGACCTGGAGCCTACAGGCGCTCCAACTTAGATGGGGCAGGGCTTCAAAAGGGTGATCGATGCCTGCAGCAGGATATGATTTTATTTTAGTGGGGATCTGAAAAACTGAAATGATCCCAGCACGTCACAGAAGGGATAGGATGTCCTTTATTTTATTATTATTTTTAAAGATTTTATTTATTTCTCTGACAGAGAGCATGCACAAGCAGGGGGAGCGGCAGGCAGAGAGAGGGAGAAGCAGGCTCTCTGCTGAGCAGGGAGCCCGATACGGGGCTCAATCCCAGGACCCTGGGATCATGACCTGAGCTGAAGTCAGATGCTTAACGACTGAGCCACCCAGGCGCCCCGCATGTCCTTTAAAAATCCATTTATTTAAGTTAAAAAAAAAAAGTGTCAGGAGGGGCTCCCAGGTGGCTCAGTCAGTTAGGCATCTGCCTTCCGCTCAGGTCATGATCCCAGGGTCCTGGGATCGAGCCCTGCATCAAGCTCCTTGCTCAGTGGGGAGCCTGCTTCTCCTTCTCCCTGTGCCCCTCCCCCTGCTTGTGCTCGTTCTCAAATAAATAAAAATAAAATCTTAAAAACAAAATAGTGTCAGGGAATATTCAGGGAAAAGAACATCCCAGGCAGAGGCAATAGCAAGTGCAAAGGTCCTGAGGCAGGAGGGTGCCTGGTGCAATCCTGAGACAATGAGGAGGCTAATTTGGCTGAGGCAGAATGAAGGTGGGAAAAACAGAGGGGGTGAGATCAGGGGGTGCTGTGGACACACCCAGTGGGGCCCTGTAGGTTACTGTAATGATCCCAGCATTTACACTAAGTGACACAGGGAATCCCCAGGAGTGGGTTTCCAGTTATGTCTTGAACACCTCTAAATAATGGCAAACTCATTACCTCAGTGGTAAAGAGGTCCGAATTTGGGGTGGGCCGAGCTATGGGCTTGTTCCTGGGTGGGGGGCAATGAAGGTGATGGCCAGAAGCAGCAGGACTAGGTCCCACAACCCTGGGCTGGGGGAGGGATACCGCTCCCTGATGGAGAACCCCCCTTCTCGCCTGCCTCACCTTCTTGTCCAGCTTCCTGCCCGCCAGACTCAGTGTGATGACCTGGTTGTCCGACAGCTCCTGGGCGGCAATCTGTGAGGTCGGGGGAATGTGAGGGTTGGGACCTGCCCCTGTAACTCCCCCTGGCGTCCTGCCAGGCAGTGAGCACAGGTACCCAGGGGTCAGCTCTTCAGGCTGGGAGGGGGAAAGGAGAGGAGGGACAATACCGGGCGACCCTGGACGTGCCTCTCGTCTTCTCAAAACCTCCATGTCTAGCTTCTGGAAAATGGGGTAACCCATGTGAATCTGAGGGATCAGAAGTGACCCCACGTGGCTCAAGAGGGGAGGCCCTGTGAAGCAGTTACCAGATATGAGGGGTGGTCTCGAGCCCTGGGGAGAGCTTCTGGCCAGGGAGCAGCTTGATAGGCCCCCTCGGGCCCCCACTGCAGACCCCGGGAGCACAGCCACCTCAAAACGCCAAGGCATGGGGTATTCCAGGAACCTCACTGTGCAGCTAGGGAAACTGAGGCCCAGGGCAGGGACAGGAGTCACCTGAGCTCCCTCTGCTGTTGTCAGCTCATACTGTCATCTGTCTGCCATGCCTTCGCCCTCAGCCATGGCCCTCTGGCTCCAACCCAGCCAGCAATGGACCAGCTGAGTGACCTTGGGGCCACCTTTGCCCTCTCTGGGCCTCTGTCTCCCCCCTCCCCACAGAGTGGCAGGGAAAGCCCTCGGGCCAACAGCAACACAAGTGGGCGGGGGCCTCTCTCTGCTAGGGATACCTCTTCCCTCACACCTGTAGGACAGCCTCACCTGCAAGCTACTGGACCCTCCAGAACCCCACACAGAGCTAGACGGGATGCTAGGCTTCCTTGCCTTTCCTTTCCTCCAGCAGAGACTTGCTCAACAACCTTGCAAGGTAGATCCTATTACTGCCCCCATTCCACAGAGGAAGGACCTGAGGTCTGGAGCGGCACCGTGGCAATGCT